GTCATAAGGAATTGCATGCAACATTTATGGTGAAAACGTAAACAGAAAGCAAACGGGACATACGGGGGGTATAAACGTACCTACTGTACATTGTTATCCAAACCAATACAATATCAATGCAATGAATGCTGCGTCTTAAAATGTTTTTGTCTCGGTCTTCGTTGAGATTGAATCGGAGATGATTCAATCTCACTGTCACCAGTTAAAGATGACTTCATAAAGGGAGTATTTATTGCAGGATTATTGTACCGAATTTCATGATGTAGCACTGATGTTTCCAATATTGTGTCCACCACCTACAGACTAAGAGCTGGCCCCAAGCAGTTGTTCATACTGTAACCAGTGTCTGTGGTGCCCTTTGCAGATGTGAATGAGTGCCAGGACCCCTCGTACTGTAAGAATGGGAGGTGTGAGAACACGCCCGGCTCCTTTCACTGTTTTTGCGACCCTCCCCTCACCTTCAGTGCAGCGCTGAAACAGTGCGTCTATGACGGTGGGTAAAACCAGCATCGGCTCACCTGAGCATAACCGATCCAAATGAGTTTTGGCTTACCTCCTCATCTGCCACTCATGTTGCTCTTTGCAATTCCTCCCAATTTGGCCTGTACTGGCTTTGTGTTTCCCCTCTTAACAACTTCATAGTTTCCCATTCTTTGGAGAGATTCCACTTTGTGTAGTTATTTAAATATATATTGAATGTTTGCATTCATGCACACAGATATCAAATGTCCAGTGTGCTTTTTCTCTGCATGTCTATTTTTCCAAAAACAATTTGTGTCTGTGCTGTTATAGATGATAAGAATGATTTGTTCTGGTAGAGTAAACACAGAGTCAGCATTAAAAAACTGCTTATTTAGTGGATAATGGTCTTAGCTCACCAGTGATCATTTTGCATGTGAAATATGTGATTCACAGTACTGTAATATTTTCAATTGCCATTTTCACAGAGTAATAAATGTCTTTAATATGGCTGGTTTAGCATCTGTAAAAAAAACGCTACAGAACTGTTGAAGTGTGACACATTGTAACCTGCAGACCAGAAAATGACTTTGAACACTATTATACTCTATCTCCACAATTACAGAAGACAAGGAAGCACACTGAACCATACACAAGGAGCTGTAACAATTAGCTGTTGGCCTAATGTTTTAACTGTTCGTTTAATGAGAGTTAACTGTCGGCATATCTTAATCATCAATGCAACACATGCAGCCACTTAATCACACAGCCATTAATCTTACCCTCACTGATGAGTGCTTGTGATCATTTTTACAGTGTCATTTGTAGATATAACATTGTTTTTTCAAATGAGTTTAAAGCGTATTCGCTTCCATGTGCCATGGCCAGATCTCCATACTGTGCAAGCAATTTATACTAGGTTTAGTTAGGCTTTTTTATTTTTTGCTATGGTCTATTTCTTACATAAGACATATGCTGTATAACATAGCTATCTGAAAAAGTGGCTACTGTAGGCAATACAGGCACCTCATGTATTACGGGGCGAACTAATCTCTGCACTTTGGCTCATACATGCTTGGATAGGCTCCTGACCCTCGTTGCACCCAACCATACTGGGCTTGTTTAGAGAATAAATGGATGAGTACATTTTGTGCCAATTCACTTTTATTTCAATTAGTTCTCATAATACATGTTAGATTTGTTGAGATATTCTTACATGTGACAAACATCCATCATCTATAAGTAGATTGCCACAAACACTAAACTAATTTTCCAAATACTGTGTATTTTTTAGGCTTAATTCTTGCTTTTCACCAGCTGAATTGACCCAACATTATATTTTTAGTCTTTATACTTCCAAATTGATATGCCTCACAATTTTTGTGTGTTGATGACATCTTCTACTGACTTGCACAACACTGTTTTACTTGGAAAAATCTTATAGCTTACAGACAGGCTTCCTGTTCTTAACCTATGTGCTGTATAACAGGTCTTCTTTTGTGCTCCTTTTTTATCCCAGATCGCACTGCAGCCCACAAGGATGTGTGTTTCCTGCGAGTTGACGAGGGCTTGATCTGCAGCGAGTCCAGGAACGGCATGGTGGTGACCTACTCAGAGTGCTGCTGTCATTACGGTCGTGGCTGGGGGCCCGAGTGTAACACCTGTCCACCTAGAAACTCAGGTGAGCAAACTTGAAGACCAGACTGGCCGCTCAACTTTGACTGCCGACTTCCGCTTTCTCTTTATTTTGAGCTAAAAAGACATTTCAATTCTTCAGAGATGTTCAGTCGTCTGTGTGAGATGCATCTGGAGACTGAGTCTGATGGGGAGCAGGATTTCCTGGCAGCTTTTGCCAACTACAACCCAGGTAAAGCTATACACTTTCTGTGTTATTTTGCAGTCATATATCTGATACACTATTTGTCACCAACTAATCCTTATTTTTTCCGCCACCTCTGCCCTGCCTGTTTGTCTATAAAAGGTGACAGTTCAGAGGAGGATTCAGATGAGTGCAGCTGTGCAAATGGCCGCTGTGTCCGCTCCTATCTGGGCACCATGTGTGAATGTAACACAGGCTTTAGGCTGGACCACTCACGCACCCGCTGTATAGGTTTGCACTTGCTATTGTTACAAAAATACATAATCCCAAAACCTTTTTAACTTTAAAAAAAATAATGAATTAATGCATTTTGAGGAATGCACAGTAGCTAATAGAGGCATATAGCCAGACTAATATTTGTATTTAGCACTGTTGATCTCCTTTTTAACAGCTTACACTCATTGATTGTTTGTTTTTCAGACATTGATGAGTGTGCAGAACCAGGAGCTCGTGTCAGTCCATGCAAGAACGCTCGCTGTGTGAACACCACTGGCTCCTACAAGTGCTTCTGCAAACACGGCTTTGTGGCAACACGCAGGCCAAACACATGTGTCCGACGCAGAACTCGGTAACCTCCGTGTGTCACTCTGTTTATCCCTATATGCAATACACACACACACACACACACACACACACACACACGTCTATCTCACAGTACGAATGTGGGACCGCGTGTAGGCAGTGAACCCAGAAAGACCAGACCAGGAGCCAAATCTTATCAAATGTACAAAACATGTCGATGTCTGCTCCTCTTTCATTTCATTTCACATTTAAAGAAATAATCAATACAGACAAGGAATATTTTTGTTTGTTTGTTAAACATTTTTGTAATTATTATTTTTTAAACTGTTTTTTAAGTTTAAATTGTGGTTTTTTGTATTTTTTTTTTTCATCGGTCTCCCTGTTGAAATGATCTCTTATCATCAATTTGAATCTTAGATCTCAAGCCACCTCATGTAAATACGGAAATTTGTTTCAAAGATGTATCTGGTATTCCTTTTGTCTACTTCAGCCCATTTCAATATTAACCTTTAATAGGAATGACATGAGAACTTTTACATATTACCGTATTACCTTTTACATTCCCATTTAAGTCCACATTCATGTTCAATTCTAAATTGACATCATCTGATATATTTTCAAACACGCATTGTTGATTTTGTGTTATTGTACAGTTTGTCCGATGGATCAACAACTTCTGTAAGAAATGCTCCCTGTCCTACCCCTCTTTATTTGTTGATGTAAAATATGAGAAACCTGAAGTTTTGTATAATTTGACATGTGCAGCTAAGTGACTTTGAGCTAGAAAAAAGGTAACGCACTTAGCAATGAACATAGTGGGAATATTTGCTAAATGTAGTTTATTCCGCAAAACCAAGAAAGTTCATGACTGCTGCATCAAAATATTTAGAAAACCAAAGCCGCTATTGAGATGACAATTGATTAAAAAGAAAGATGTCAATCAGTCATTCATTTGTTTTTCTTGTGTTTGATGGTGTTTTGTTCACACGTGCCTAGAAAGCAAATAATCCCGGCACATGCCAGGGTTTCCTTGGTCTTCCATTAGATCTAAATCTGTACTCTTTTTACTTGTTACTTCAATGTACACATCTTTAACATTCATTAACTGAATTAAGTTTGGCTGTCAGCATGTTGTCTTGATTGGACATTTGCTTCGCTCCTTCACATACATTCTGCAGCATTACACTGGTGTCTTTAACCAGTGAAATGCAATGCAACCAGTTATTTTCCAGCATGAAGACACATTTTGTTTTTATCTTAGGATTCAGTTTTCACCCTGAACAAGTATTAAAATGAGAATAAATCATTCTGTTCCTTCAGTGCTGCCAATTTCTTGGATATATTTGCGCCACTTAATGTTTCGAATTTGTTGATGTAATCTATTTTAAATGATTTTTTCTTTAGGTAATGTTGACTTTACTTGCCTTTATCCAACATTTTAGTATCTTATTCACTCTTATGAATTATTTATTTTTCAGACAAACAACTAATGACTCCAGTGAAACAACTTATGTCATATAAAGCTCTATGTTTCCTCAAACAAACATATATATATATACCAGCCTCTATCTGTTTTACGGAAAGATTCTCTCAAATCTGACTGTGTGTCACTCATTTAACCACCAGATAGCGCTGTATGACCAAAAGAAGAAGACTGGCACATGTTTTTTTTGCTGCTTTCAAGTACTGTGGGGAATTTTGCATATCAAATATTTTTTTCCCAGGATTTATTTTTCTACCTTCAAAATTAACAGCTGGCAAAGTGTGAATTTCTGTGATTGCTGAGGAATTGGAATGCGTTGGGAGGTAAAGGTAATTGATTTAGACTCATTAACCTCATTGTTGGGTCATTTTTAGGCATTCTGCTGAAGTTGACTGTTTTCTTTTTAAATCATGGTAAATTTAGAGTTGTCAACACATATTAATTTACATACAACAAACTCAACTCAAACTGTCCAATTTGGTCCTCAAATTTAAACAGAAAAAGAAAAGCTGTTGCAAGAGGGCCTTTACCATGACACAATAACTTATCTTTAAAAATGTTTTAAGAATTATTCAATTATAAATGCGTTGGATATGCTGTCACCATGTTTACGAGGAGCCTTTAAAGGCAACATTAATTCGGCTTCCACTTCAGTCAAACAAACTAGATTCCCGAAAGGAAAAAGACCCCCTGGTGGTAGCTCCAGCAGCTGTGTGTAGCAGCACGGTGGAGAAGAGGCTGTGTTTGGATTAGGGGGTTGGGCTGCCTGCTGGTAGGAAACCTGCCGACAGACATTCAGTTGGACTCCGGCGGTGCAGCGTTGCTTTCCCGCAGCATCAGCAGCAGCAACAACCGCAGCGCAGTCTCCAGACAGTCTCACCTGCTTCTATCTGCGCTTCCCTCCGCCTCTGTGACCAGAAACAAAACACTGCCGCAGCACAGAGGGGACGGACGGACAAGGACGATCAGCTGTAAGTAACTGCTTTTCGGGGGATACAGTGTAGTTGTTTTTTTTTTTTGTGATGGGGAAAGGTTGAGAAGATGATGTTTTTTGCTGAGTTTTTTCCCTTTTTGTTTTTTGGTTAATAAGATAGATATATCTATATTGCAAACAAAAATGTGCTTTTTTTGGGAGTATGTTGCTGCTTTTATCATTCAATAAATGATCGCATGCTCCCAATTTCATTTAACCAAAAAAATAAAAAATAGTCAAGCTATTGTGTTCTTTAAAGCTTATATTAAGTTAAAATTGAAATAGTTGAATCGTCTGTTACACTGGAATATTCTCCATCAAATAGCCTGTGTCTGCCAGGTTTCATTGACCTGAAAGGCTGTTTGGTAAATCCATTCTTTCTCAACACCTCCTCTATTCAGGAGCAGTCTTCAGGGAAATAAAGGGGATATATATAAGGGCGGTGAAAGATGGTGAAACTAGGGAGTAATCTTCAAGACAAAGGGGCCAAACCTGTGAGCGTGGAGGACGGCTTTCAGAATGTGCCCCTCATCACTCCACTGGATGTCGGCAGCCTCCAGAGTCAAGCACCTGACAAGGTGAGAAACACACACACTAACAAAAATATATATATATATATATATATATACCCACACTCATACCCTTTCATTCATTCACAAATGAAGTCATCTCAGCTGTCGTCGCCCAGCTGTGTCCTTTGTTTTCCAGCTGAGATTAGGAGACAGATTTGGTGCCAGACTGACTGTCATTTATCATCTCGACATCCAATAGTAACTGCACCGCAGCTCGTTAATCCAGTTACCATGGTGGCAGCGCAATGTGGAGAGCCTGATTGGTGCTTCTATGAGGTTGTGATAGAGTGCTGCATTGATTGCACATTATAAAAATGAATGGAATTAGACAATATAGAAGCTTCATATTGCATCAATTGTTCAATTGTGTGACAGCGTTTGTCTTGTTTCAAGACCACAGTTACAGTGTGATGATTGCCTTTTGCAGCGGTATGAATCCATATTTCTACCCTGAGCTACTGATCAATTACTGATTGTAGAGCTGCAAGATGACATTATTTATAATAGAATCATTGCACAAGTTATTTAACTCAAAAGGATTATCGATATACAACTTTATTGAAACCAATACACTCTTGATGGGGCTTTGGACAGGAGTCTATTAGGACAATCAATTCAGTTTTAAACAGGAATTAGATACTTTGTATTTATGCCATACAACCCATGTCCAAACCTCTATGCCACCTTGCATTTACCCTCACAATTAGCCTTTAGTTGTACTTCATTAACGGTCAGCATTGTGTATTACCTGTGGTTTCACAAGTACTCAAGTACTCCTTCATGACCGCATAGGAACAAGAGTACCGCAATGACTTAATATTTGACATTTAGGAACGTAACATGAAGTGGAGACTAACTTTTAGGAAACCATTACATCCTTCACGGTGACATCATCCGACAAGGATGCATAAACAAAACCATACAATAGTGCTAAAACGATTAGCCGGAAATTAGCCAGGAGGAGATTGGGTGGTTGAATAGCCTTAGATCCTAGCTGGGTCAGCTTTGCTTCCATCTCGGCTCTCCTCTTCTTGACTCAGTGGTGTTTGGTCCGGCTGGTCTGGCCGGGTGGTCGTCTCAATGCCCCCCCCCCATGAATGAATCCAATCCCCATGCTTCCTTCTCCGATACTGATGTGTGCATTCTGTCATATGCCATATGTGCTCCAGTAATGAAGACGAAATAACCTAAATTAAGACAAAAATGTAGCAAAATTCATGGCAGCTGCTGTCCGCAGCATGTACATGCTTATTCGGACAATACAAGTTGTTAAAGACTCCCATTCAGGCTCTGGAAAATGAGATTGCCATTTTTTATATTGCTTTCTTATATTCCATAGACAACAATTGCCTAACGAAAACATATTTTAGGAATTCGTTTGAGTTTGAGCCCTACATCAGATTTTTTTTATAATAAGTCCTACCCCTCTGCCCATCTTATCATTATAAACGAGAGAGAGAGAAAGGCTTTCTTTCCTAAATAAAAAACTAAAATAATCAATTTGTGGGGCCTTTAAAATACAGCAAACTTGAGAGGGCAAAAGCCTTTTATAGCATTGTGTCCAAGGTACAAGAACTGTGGACCAAAATTACCTGCTGCCTGGCCTTTAAAAGCATGACAATGTATCTATTTTTTGTTCAATCTCTTCAAGTGGTTTTATCATTGAAAATTCTCAGAAACTCCCAAAAATGGACGTCCATTTATGCTGCTGCAGACAGAAACCCACAGCTCAGCCGGAACCCTCACTGTGTGTCTGCTGAGGGAGGCACAGTCTCTTTCCATTTTATTTTCCTGTTAACTGACTTGTCATTCACTGCACACACACAGCAGAACACACAGGCATGCTTGCCTTCTAGTGTGTGTGTAGTACCATTCAGGCATGTGAGCACGTGTGTGCGTGAGTGACAAGTCGTTTTTGTCAGCATCCAACAGTTCGTAACATGACATTCATAGAGCTGTCAGACATTTTGCACTGATTAAATCAGTCCCACTAGACTTGAGAACATCACAACGTACTCTAGCCGAAGCTACCATCATGAAACACGCACACACACACACACACACATACATACATTGCCATGTCAAGTGTATTTTACTGATTTCCTGATCAGGTAGAGCGACAGAGAAAATATGCTGGGTGGAGTGTTTGCTCCTGCGACACACCAGCGAGTAATTGTTGTTGACATATGAAAGGAAAAGAGGTCAGAGAAGAAGGCTTGCTGTTTTCTTGATCAGTGAATTTTTACATGCCTCGAGAGACGCGGGCACAACGATTGGGGTTGCTTGTTGCTTCTGGATATACTTCGCTGACAGCTGATACCAGAGTTTGTATGCTGCTCACTTGCTAACAGAAATACCAAGATGGTTTATGTTATCTGCACTTTCAGACATTAAGCGAAAAATGTTTTTCTCATTTTTAAAAATCATACTGCAAATGCAGATGGGTGCACTTGTTTTTTCATGGGACTGTGTGGGAGTCGTAAAGGTCAATTTGCAGTTAAATCTTTGAATTTGTCTCCAGCTCCAGATATGAGAGTTTGTCTTCCTGACAAATGATGCGTGAAAGCAACAGAGGCCAAGTGAAATAATAATGAAATCTGTAATTAGACATCAGAGCGTGGGAGGTGTCGATGATGGTTATCACAGTTAATTTAATGAGAATTCTGCACCCTGTACTTCATCCTATACTGTGTATGTCTGTGATCATACTCTTCTGTGCTTTTAGAATACCACATGGAATTATTGTTGTCCTTTTGAGGCCAGTTTTCAGTATCAGTAGTCCTCACACTTGCATCAACTGATTTCTTTTCGCCAATTGGTGGAGACAAGTTGTTGACACAACATTGACATATCGTATTTGAAGTTAAACCTGTTGGCGAAACAACGTATACTAGGGCTATAACAATAAAGGGTTTGAGAGTTTCAAAATCAATTAGATAATGATACTGGCATATTCATTTTCTTAACACATTTTACAATTGAAAAATATACTAGCTACTCACTAATTGCTGGTGGACAAACCATAGAAGTTCGGTATGTCAATTGCTTGTCATTTGTTATTGACATACACGCCAATACGATATATCAGCAATGAACTAATACCAGCCCATATATTGGCCTTTCCTATTTGTTGGTAGGGCTCTAATTTACTCATCCAGCAGATAGAGAGCAACATTTTCATGTACTTAGCAAATGTGCATCAGATGAGAATGAGCGAAATTCAGGGGAATTGGGTGTGCGCATTGGGTGTGCGCATGGCCTCCAGTACATTACATCCACTATCAACGCACAAGTAGTACAGTATTTATAATAGGCTACTATTCTTTCCTGTAGACTTTGTTTTTGAAAATGCCTCAACGCAGCTCCTTATTACAGTCTTCGTCTCAAACACGGCCATTATAGATAAAAGTTGTGATTGGCCCAGCACATCTCAGGCTGCTGGAAATCTTGTTGAGGGGGACCGGACACATAAACAATATAGTTGTGGGCCGGTCAGCTAAACAATGAGCTGAAACCATAAAGCTCCATAAAGCCGAGGGGAGCTTCAGATTCAGGTCATGACTGTCTCCGTAGGTTTATATTTACGAGTGACCCCTTTCACATTGCCACATCATTTTCACATTGTCATACATTGTTTTTTTATGTAATATTGATTATGGCCACTTTAAAGGAAGATGGCAGTATTGTAGGAAGCCATACCCTTTGTGTGATTTCTATCTCTAAACCTAATCTCTTTAATCTCACTGAATTTAAGGTTCTTTTTACCACCCGTCCCAGCCAGAAGGAGTTCATTGTTAATCAGCTTTTATCAGCCTTTCAGAATCTGATCTGTGACCAGTTTCATTCTCTCTGTCCTTTAAAGCTAAAGCAAGATTTATTGGGTCACGTGACCTGTCTAGTTCCCTAGATCAGCAGTGCGGTTCTGAGCGGCTTTACAAATACGACCCCAGCTGTTTTCCCTCTGATCCTGCCTGATGATAGCGTGACCTCCCCGACTACAGGGTTACCAACGGAAATTTACAGGGGCAGGGTGCAGTCACAGCAAAGTTCATTCACGAACGGACGCACACAGCGGCTCATAACAATGCTGCTCGGCCCTGCAGAGGCTGAGGCATTAGAGAGGTATTAGATTTGACTCCATCTGGGCAGGGACGCGTCACAGCCACTGCTGGGTCACCAATATCTTGATTGGATTGCTGGTTTGTAAAAAAACAATAACAACAACAACCAGAGGAGGGTGGAGAGACTCAATGAAATGTCAGAAAATAGTGAAAAAATATGCATCAAAATATCCCAGATCCAAGGTGACATTTTCAAATCGTCCAAAACAGAAATAGCTGCAACAGGGACAATCTTTAGTATTTGAAGTAATGAAAAACATTCATGCATATTGTGCTTAGTGGTCATTTATGTATTTATTTCATACTCTTGTACTGTACACTGTGTTATCCAACAGTACTGCAGTGCTGCCTGTTAGTTGGATGACCAATGGTTTTCAGTCCTGCTCCTTCGGACTCTGTGCTCAGCTGGATTATATTCTAGCTGTGTGGATACGGATCGATTTACACCTCTGCAGTTCTCCTCAGTTCTATTAAGCCTTTTAATATCTTTCAGCTAATTTTTTTGGTGTTGCTGACAGCAAAAAAGCTCTGAAAACTCACTCTGTATTTTGAGTTGATGGAGACTAAAAACATACCTAAAAGGAATATTGTGAATATTTGACTATATGTTGCTCTGTTGGATTTGTAAATAGGCAGCTAATACGTCTAATTTGTGAAATTAAAATATTATAATGCGAACAGCATGAACAGCATCAACAGTTCAAACGGCAACAATGCTGCATGAGCACAGTGCAGAGGGCGGCAATTAGCTAACCCGTAGACAGACACACATCTCCCATTCACATGATGGCTGTTTAATGAAGTACTGGTATCACATTAAGAGTACTGGTATTGGTAGTGATATCGTAATTTTTGAAACAATACCCAGCCCTAAGCATTTTGATTTTGGTTCTTGGAGGACCTTCTGGGAATCATGAATGTCTGTACACATGTCAAAGCAATCCACTCAACACTTATTTAGATGTTTCATCTGACTGCAATCCCCAAAGTCACAGTAAAAAATATTACACTTGACCACTTAAATACACATAAATAAAGTCTCAAGAGAAATTATAAATGAAAAATGAGCCGCTCCCTCTGTGGAATAATTAGTGAGTAAGTTGTAATTAAATTTTTTTTTAAATCCTATCACGACTGTTCATGGCTGCATCATTCATTTGGTGTTTTTTTTACATCAAGCTTTGTAAAACAACATATCATTATTTATAAATGTATGGTTTCCCAAGGACTATTTGGAGCTGTCTAATGAGATAAGGTTGCACTTTGTTAAGTAGATTCCTATCTGCTGCTGAGAGCTAAAGGCCTGTGTAAATGAGGCAATGTTGATTGATAGCCCCGTCATTAGGTAATGTGAAATAAAGGAGTGAGAGGTACAGGTGAGGAGAGAGTAATAAAGCAACATGAAGCGCTGCTGTGTTTGAACCTGGGGGCCCTGAGCATATTATTGTGAAATGAGTCAGAGAAAGAGAAAGTTGAGGCAAAATTGAAACATAAGTTTGTGCTATGATGTCTGGTGTTACTGCACTGAAGGCCACAAGGCTCCAAAGCCCCAGGGGTCCAATCAAATGCAATGTATTCAGTGCACCTACTGCGGCCGTCAACTCTTTAGATAAGGGCTTTCTAGAGCCAACTGACGGCTTTGTTATTCACATAGTGGAGCCAGTTTGTGAGCACAGCAGTTTCTGGCGTTGTCTCAAAGTGAAGGAGAGCTGCTCAGAGGCAGCGCAATTAGCCACAAGGACACTGAGACATTGTTCTCTTTCTCTTCCTCCACCTCTCCTCTTGCCTTGTCATTTGTACACATTCTCTCTCTCTGCCCTATCCTCTTGTGCACATTCATATACAGTGAATGCACAAAACAGTAGGAACACTTTCTCTTTTTAGCAGGTGCAGGGCTGAGGAGAAGGCTGGTAAAAGCGATTATTTTGTTAAATGAAGTCAGTGCTGCAAAAAGATGAGATGATACTAAAGCTGAGACAACAAGTTTTTTTCAAGCAAAATCTAAAACAAAACATAATCTTAGTAACAAAGGACTGGCGGAGCAGTGAGGTGAAGCTTTGCTACTGACTGCAAGAGGAGACGCTGCTGCCGGGCGCGGAGCAGTCCTCCTCCCACCGAAGCTCCAACTGCATAACCACTTTAAAGTTCCTTATAGTAACTTACTATAAATATAAAATGTTAGAAAAAAGGGGCGACTATGGCTCAGTGGTAGAGCTGGGTCGTCCTTCAATCAGAGGATTGGCGGTTCGATCCCCGGCTCCGCTAGTCCATGTCGATGTGTCCTTGGGCAAGACACTTAACCCCAAATTGCTCCCGTAGCTGTGCCTACGGTGTGTGAATGTTGTAGGAATGATAGGTAGTGGTGGCCCCTGCCATCAGCGTGGCTGTTAAAGCGCTTTGAGTAGTTGGAAGACTAGTAAAGCGCTATACAAGTACAGTCCATTTACCATTTAGAACCAGTACTTTCCAAAGTGTTGAAAAAGTAGAGTTTGTGAGTTTCACCTCGTCTCTTCGCTCTGTGTCCCTCTCATTCCTCTAAACCGGTTTGCTTGAGGAGAGTTATACTGACATTACTGGGGCAGGGTTGTACTGCCCTGCATGGCTCTTTTTACACCATCTAGCTGCCGGCACGAAGCACAGTGTTTCCCCTTTGGACTGAGGGTCTTAAATTCTGGGCACTGGACCTTATTAACATACAGTAGAGCTTGAACAGATGCCTGGCATCGGTGTTGCCTGTAGGATGGTTTCTAGCTGTGTTGGCTGTTGGGTGTAATTTATGTTCTGAAGCTGAGGCTTGATCCTATGCGTCCATGAAATCACTGCTATTACAATATACATTGATACTGTGTACTGACTATACTATTTATAATATTATTAGACTATGAACTTGCATGTAAAACAAACATCTATCTTAGGCTACATCCACACTAATACGTTTTTGTTTAAAACACGAATATCACGTGACTATTCACGTACACTGGGCATGAGGGTGCCGGTGTAAACAGGAAGTAGATTGGTTGCTTAATTACAGAAAATACAACAAAGTATTATAGTAGTCTTTAATAATGAAAGGTTGTTGAGAGCTTGATACTTGAGATCTTCTCTAAAATCTTCCTCTATGAACTCAAACAGACACATTTTGTGGAAAGTTTTAGAAGTTTTATTTTTCAAACTTAGTTATAACGCTGCAGGTCTTGCTCTATCGCTCTCTCACACACACATCAAATTCACTACAAATCAGAGTTGACTAGATTAGAGTTGACTAGATTAGAGTTGACTAGATTATGGGTCAAATGTGGTCAACACATGTAGGGCTGATACCACCACTGGACACGCCGCTCGCTAATCGCTCCAATAACACCTGCTTCCTCGCATGTCGGCAGTAGTAGAACTATAAAATGCAGAATTTAGCTGCACAACAACTGCTTTTAAGTGAAGACGGATAGGTTTGAAAACGTATCCGTTTCCAGTGCTCTAAAACTCCAGTCTAGCGTGGACGCTCTGTGTAAATGTAGCAAAAATATATGCATTTTAAAATGTAAACGTAGTAGTGTGGACATAGCCTTAACCATGAATAAAATGAGTCCTACCACAATGGATTTAAGGCCTGCATTTAAAGTAAAAGAAAACAAGGTAGAATCTTCTGAATAAAATAAAAGTGCCTCTTAGAAAAAGTGCAAACCAAGCTTTGAGCATCCCCTTTTCTCTTTCTTCTTCTTCTTTTTTATGGTGAGCCTGAATCAGTACTTGGTTTTAATAATGTTCATAGAGGAGACAGCTGACTCACAGCTGTAAGTCGATCCAAACGTGGTCAAAGTGTGTAGTGGGTTAGACCAGAGAAAACAGTCTCAGACACATTCTGCAGCCTGAAAGTAGTGGGGTCAATTGCTTTGTGTTTCATGCTGCCATAACTCTCACATCTGTGTTATACTAGTGTTCTCTTACAAACTGTCTAATGAGCTTGTGATATCAACAGGAAAGGATGTCTGTGCCAGATTCAGAGTCAGTTCAATGTTCATGGATAATGGCCATGATCCCGCAATGTTTGAATAAAGAAGGCAGCTGCTCAGATAAAGGCTGCTACCAGGTACAGCCTGGGGGGGGGGGGGGGGAGAGGGGGTTGGTCTATGTAAAGATGTAGGCACAGACCAACCGTTGCTGGGTCAGCCCGGATTTTCCTGCGATCGGCCATTCGCCAGGAGCAGATTGAGCAGTGGAATAGCCTTAGGTCTTAGCTGGTTTGGCTTCGCTTACAACTCAACTCTCTTCTCTCTCCTCCTGCGGCAGTCCAATCCACTTTCGGGATTTGGCGGAGATTTGGGGTTTGGTCCTGCAGTTCTGGCTGGGTGGCTTTGCACTGTGATCGCCTCAAGGTCCGCTCCCCACGAATTAGTCAATCAATTCTCTCCGATGTTGATGAGTATACTCGGTCATATGCCATAAGTGCTCCAGTATAAAGACTAAAAGACACCAAAGACAAAAATGTAGCAAAATTCATGGGAATTACCGGCGACAGCATGTACATGCGCCGTCGTTGCCTTTCATTTTTCTGAAAGGTCTGGTGACTTTTTCAAAATGTGAAAACATTTGAAAAGTTCCCTCCTGCAATAACATCCATACACCTTTCATTGCCTTTAGCATACCTGAGTATTTAACTGCTTTGACGGTTTATCTCCCTCCTCCAGGTGGTGGTGAAAACCCGCACTGAGTACCAGACAGAGAAGAAGAGGCTGAAGGTTCCCAAGGTGGAGGAGTTCACCATCAGCTTTACTGACGGGGTGTCTGAGAGACTTAAGGTAAGATGTAATGCGCTCGTCAACTTGTGATGAATGAACTGATAATAATACATCTGTGTTTTCCGCCATCAGTTGCATTCACTCAGCACTGATATAGGATCGGTGCTTGCTTTCAGTTGATAGTCTGAATTTGGTATCGGGAAGGAAAAAGTTTGGTTGGTGCTTTCTTAAAGAAAACATACTGCACTGGGTCTGTGACTTTAAAGTATAACATTTCCTGTGTGTGGGTTGGAAGTAATACTGAGAAGCAGAATATTTACTCATCTGACATTTCCCCCCCTTGGCTTCCCAAAATGAAATCTGTGTGACCAGGTTTAGAAATAGACCTGCAAATGACTCTGACAAACAAATGGAAGAATTGGTAATGACATGATCATCTCACGCAGGAACGTAAGCAGTACTTTTACATAAGTAGGATTTTAAAAGGAGCAGAGTACTTCTTCCACCACTATGCTCTTCCCTGGCAAAGCGTAGGACAGGAGACTCCAGCGGTGTGTGTGTGAATCACTGAGCTACCGGTCCGAACGCATCTACATCACCCAGGCGCTCTCTGTTCCATTCTTCTATCGTTAGGGGAGACCAAAGAGAATTCACGTTGTCATGGCAGCAAAGAAAACCTCCCTCCATGGCAACCCTGACTGAGAGCGAGAGAGAGAGAGAGAGGAGAGAGAAAGTGGTGTGCAACGGTCTAAGTGTGTGTGTGTGTGTGTGTGTGTGTGTGTGTGTGTGTAAAGTGAGCTCTGCTGAAAAGTCCTTCAAAGCGGAAGAGGACAGAATGAGATTCGGGCACCGAAAGAGGCTGTGACATCCGTCTGGATGAGACAGCGTGTTTACATGACACACACACACACAAACACGCTATATTCACACACTGCTACACTGAAGCCGAGCATACTGTCAAGGTTAAGTAAAATAAAATATCTCACTTGGGTCACTTTAGCACTCGAAAGCGATGCAATGAGCTCTGTGTTTGGGCATTGGCAGCACAAGCAGGTCAGGACTGTGGCAGAAAATGTTCTCCACTCTTATCCCTGCTCAACCCGTCTGATGTCAAATATAGCTCAACCTGTCTGAAGGACCTCCTCCCCTTTATATGTCTGGCTGACAGTTTCTATGACGATATGCTGATTTTATAATGACTTATTCAGAATTATTCAGAATTGCTGGTCACTCACTGACTTTTTGTTGCAAGGATCATAGTGTATTATAATTCCCATTGCTGTTATACATTATAATATTTTTATAATACATTACAATTTACTTTAAGTGACCATTGTTTGCTTTAAGTAAAGTAAACAAAAATATAATTAAATCTATGTGAGAACAACAGACAAAGCTTTGTACATTTGTTTTACAGATAAGAAATTCAATTGAGTAATGTTTTATGTATACAGGTCTGTTTTTGATTAATATATCTAATGTAATACTTGAACAATCAAGGTACTTCACACATTGATTTTACATTGATTTACAATGTTTCCCACAAAGGCCTAATACAACCAGAAATATAGAAGGGATCTCTGACAACTAATTAATGTGTATCATCTGATGGTGTATATTGTCATATCGTCCAACCTTGTACAGTGATTAGCACCTATGAGAAGTCTGCATTTGAAACAAATACTAGAAAGGTGTTCAATGCTTGCATTTGATTGGTTTTTAAAGGCTACATTAGCTGTTAGTAGCATAAGACACCAGCACCTCTGACCAAACTGCCAGATGGGGAGCTGATTGTGGGTAATGTAGGTGCCATGTTTTGTTAAGGAAGAATAAAAAAAAGACAGCATCTCTGGTTCTTGTGCATCAATTTTGATATTTCTGCAGTCCATTGTGAGTCTGACAATGTCATACAGTAGGGTTGGAGCGCCATGGTAAATCGCTGGAGTATGGATAAACTTGACAGAAGTTTTGCAGACTTGTGGATGTGTGACACTTGCCATTGGGGGAAATAAATCAGGACACAGTGTTAAAAATGTCCACATTACCATGCAGCAATGCTGAGCTGACTTCTTTGGAAATTGCTGCTTATCAGACTTCTCAAAAATGTTGCAGCAGACTGTTCTTTCTGGCTTGCCACATTGCATCAGCTTTTGTTAGGCAAAAATGCATCTCAGTCTGTGTGGTTTTGTGCGACGTCGGTTAGTTTTGGGGCGCTCAACTGAACGGCTTGCTTTGACTGACAGAGCTGATTCTGCAGCCACACAGGCAAGTCCACACACACACACACACACACACACACACACACACACACACACACACCCACAAAGTAAACACATACACTCACAACCGCCACACACACACACACATAAAGCATGCTGTGCAGTGCAGAGCAAACATTTCTGGATGAAAAGCTTGCACATCTCTTCTCTCTTCAAAGCTTTGCAGATTGTGTTGATGGATGAAGAGCTCAGAGTGTAAAATGCTCTCTAATCTGCCCTCCCTCACCACCTCGCTCATGCTTACCACTCTCCATCCTTTCCTCCACTTCTCTTCTCTTCCCTGCTGCTGTTTTCTTTCCTCTCCTCGGATGTTTTGCTTACTCCATTGCTTTTCCCTTTTTGATCTAAAATGCTTGAGATTTTGAAATTTTGTGCAGCTTGTTTTTAATACAAGACAAGTGTTTAGTTGCAGCTTTAAATCCACAGTGACACATATGGCCATGCTAGTGTTGCTGTGAATACAGAGTGATCCTTCTGCAAGGAAAGTAGATGGTAGGAGAGGGTAAAAGGCGGACATGTTGATATCCACAATGCATTATTGCCTGAAGAACAAAGCATCGAGAATATAAAATACAGTTATATTTTGGTGAAAGAAGGGCCTTAAAGTAGATTTACTATGATGGATTCTCGCAAGTGCTCCCTCCTCCCTGCTATCCCTCTCTGCCTCTTTCATTCATTCCCTTCTCACTTCATCCCTCTCTATTTCCCAAAGATTCCTCCCTTTGGACCAGGTGTCATGTCTTACTCCTCCCTCATCCCTCCCTCCCACTCTCATTCTGTCCCTCGCTGCCTGCCTTTTAGCCTCCCCCTCCCTCTCTTTCTCTGACGTTCTGATTACTCCCAGCAGGCCAGAGATACAAAGTATTCCCTATAGTTGTTTTGTTCCATGAACAAACGGAGAAGGGCACGTTTTCCCCCTCATTAACTATCTGAATTCTGAAATAAAGCCAGGTTTTTAAGCTCTCACTGTATGTCGAGCAAACTGACCTTGGAGAGCTCTCAGTGAGATGGAGTTCAGTCTGTTGACATATATAATGTTTGCAAAACCTCTTTTGTAGCTTGCATCACATGGTAAATTAAAAATAAATGAATGCGCAAGTTATCACATAAAGATGAATGAGCCACTGGTAACAGTTGATTTTATTAGTTGATATTAGGAAATAATTTACTAATATAGTTATACTTGTCAAATCACACGCTACTTTATTTAATATTTATTATAGTATTAAAAAATACATATAAAATGTTTTCCTCATTTCTATGACTTTGTATTTGTAGTTTCTATTGATAACAATTTAATTTAAATGACGTTTTCTGTTCTTATATTTACTCTTATATTGGCTCCCAATGTTCTGTTTTTAAGAGTTCATTTTTTAACTGAATGTTTTGGTCAATTCATATTAACAAGATTTAATCCGGCCCTATCCTAAAAATGATGTCTATATACTACTGATTTGCTACAGTGAATACGTTTAAAAATATCTCAAAAACTCAATATTGGTTGGGATCCAATAAGAGGGATTCAATTGAGGATAGAAGAAAGGTGCGCTCTTGTGGCATCAGTGTTTTTGATTTAAATTCAGCTCATGACCTTTGCTGAAAAACATCTACTCTATTTGTCGTCCATCTTTTCCATTAAGCTCAACGGCAGACTTTCTGATACAAAGAAAATGCCATGAAGGGCGTCCCTTAAAATGAGGACTTGGAAAAGAGGAAAGGATTAGTCCGGTGCAATAGTGCAGGGATTGAGAGAAGCAGGTGTAGAGATTGATGAAAGGGAGATTTAATTTGTGTTGCCCTGCTTGGTTTCTGGCTTGCTTCCTATCTAGAAAACAAGGTGCACTTAGCCAGCTCTCACCCCACATACACACACTTCAAACCCACGTGCACCACCCACTCCTAGGACTGACACTACAACACAAACCTCATTACACACACACACACACACACACAAACACTGACCACATGACAGAGCCGTGACTGCCAAGCCGAACCTGCTCGGTGCCAGCAGAAGTTAGCAGGCCTGTGTAGGTAGCGACGGGAGAGACAGCCATCATCCAAAATAATTATCCCATTATTACTTTCACTTCGCCTTCTGATAAAAGCTTTGCCGCAATCTACCACCTCCACAGTATGCCTCCGCTGTTTGTCAGGTTGGAGGTAATTACTGTTGCGGTTCGGAATCTCGCACAGACTCCTTTTCCACATATTGTTCTATATTGTTTCGTATGGATGACTAAACGTATGCTCATTATAGGGAGTGTTTAAAGCCGTCGTCTGCTCTCAGTTAAACATCCACATGGATGCACACACACATACATTCAAGAGAGATACAAATATAGAATTTTAACACATCTGTCATACTCATATAGAGTGAATATGTGCTGCATTCAAAAGACCTCAGAGATATCGGTTTCCTTTACTTTCTCTCCCTCCAATCATCTCCATCTCTCACATTTGTTTGCCATTTCTTTCCCTCGTCATTGTGTCATAACAAGCCAACAATCAGTGGCAGCCCGCTGATGCTCTCTCGTGAAATTCAACTCTGGGAAGCATTTTATAACATTTCTATCACACACGCTCACAGTTCCTATTATAACCGCGCCAGCTCATATTGGCAGATATTCGCAGACATCTTATTGTTCTAAATTGGCTTATGATAAAATGAGCTTGCCTGTTGTGATCCCTAGATCCTAGAGCCTTGGTTTGCGCACACACACTTGAAGTATAGACACGTTGAGCTGCTGGCTGTCATTGTTAAATTATGAATTGGTTCACGCT